GGAACTGCTGCCAAATTGAGTGACAAACACCGAAAAGCTCCGAATTTTAAAAGAAGGACGGTATAACGCAGCAAATCCAAAAGAAAACCACAGATGGACAAACTTGAAGAATGTTAAAACTGACCGCAATTGTGGGTTTTGAAAACTTGTTAGCCTAACAGTTTTTTCAAAGTTTATTTTGCTTGTCGGTAGCGTTTGATATAAAGCTTTGGAGACATTTGTTTGACATGAAGCCGTGATTTTGTTATTTGCCTGTAATTTCGTCGCCAACGTTAAGTTCCGTGGCGAATAAGGATTTTTAATAATACTGGGTGCTTTTATTTCGATTGATATGTGTCAGCGACCATTCGGTACCGAGCAATTTCCTTCTTGACTTAAACCTCAATCCCATTTAAACAAATAATTAAATGACTATAATTAAAATTAAGACTTTGCGCTGCCTGTCTAGTACATCAACGATGGCGGAAATAGCTACGTTTAAATAACATATTAAACAACCATGGATATAATACAACTTAAAATTTTTCAGTTCAGTTCTCGCATATGATTATCTAGCACTGATCCACTAGCGCTCTCCTTATGTGACAACGCATAAATAATAGACAATTAAATATTAAAGAGACGTAAATTGTAAGTAAAAGAATTAAAAGTAATTTTCCGGAGAGGACGCTCAAATTGAAACCTTGGAGCTTATTACATGAGCTCACGTCCCTAACCTAAGATAGACTAAATATAATTAGGATAAAAAGCAAGCAAAACAAGATAGACAAAATAGCAGCAAAAAACAAGTGGTGAATCAGGTAAGAAGAGGGATAGTAGCAGCACCTTGTATATTGTTATTTAGTCTACTGAAAATTTTAGGTTCCTGAAATGTTATACCAAAAAGTCTTATATTTGTTTGTGCAGGAAATAGGTAGAGAGTATTTGAATTTCTGGTATTATAGGAATGAACTTGATCGGTCATGAAAAACATTTCTTTGAATACATTAGGAAGCAGGCCTTTTTTAAAGCGATATCTGCTGTAAACCTTACAAGTGGCTACTCAGTTCATCAGCTTTGTCAGTTGAAGGAAGTCGCGTGACCTAATTTTCATAATTTTAAGGCACGAAATTGACACAAACTAAAAATATGGGTAGCCACAGGCAGCCCAAGCGCACTATTTGTGGGTTCGGGCTTCAGAGGTCATTTGGTCGGAATATACTAGAATTATTAGTGTATCATCTGATGCCAAATAAATGCAAAAAGTCTTAAAGATATGAAGTCTTCTTGTTTGTCTATCTGTACTAGTAGCCTTTAAGATAACGAAAATCGATATTTCTTGCATTATTACATGTGATTCGAGCCCTTATTCTTCGAATTTTATCACATGTATTCGAATCTACAACGCTAAGAAAAAAAAAATCATGATTACGCGAAATATTGATTCAAAAAGCTCCCTTACCTTGAGTTCATAGCAACTCTGTGTCCTACGGTCGGTTTAAATACCGTTTAGTCGACTTTCTTTCCATTGAATACTGAACACTATATATATTTATAGTGTTCAGTATTCAATGGAAAGAAAGTCGACTAAAGGGTATTTAAACCGACCGTAGGACACAGAGTTGCTATGAACTCAAGGTAAGGGAGCTTTTTGAATCAATATTTCGCGTGATCATGATTTGTTTTTTTCTTAGCGTTGTAGATTCGAATACATGTGATAAAATTCGAACAATAAGGGCCCGAATCACATGTAATAATGCAAGAAATATCGATTTTCGTTATCTTAAAGGCTACTAGTACAGATAGACAAACAAGAAGACTTCATATCTTTAAGACTTTTTGCATTTATTTGGCATCAGATAATACACTAATAATTCTAGTATATTCCGACCAAATGACCTCTGAAGCCCGAACCCACAAATAGTGCGCTTGGGCTGCCTGTGGGGTAGCTGGCAAAGTTTTATGTCTCTTCATCTAAAGTTCTTAGATATAGACCACCCCCTCGGTTTTGAAGAGAGCAAATTAAGTTATTAAGGCAATTAAGACCAATTAAGGCAAATTGAGGCCCACTGCCTTAATTTACCTGAGTAACCTACAGTGTAAAAAGAAAAAAAAAATAGAACACCAAGAAAGAAATTGTCGGAAAAAGTAACAAATATAAACCGCTTAATTACGATAAGAGACCACACTATGATTTTATGCCGAGGTAACATGTGTGCGATCCCTGCCGAATCAAGTAAAAGAGTATGTTTTCCTGCGGTTTAATGTCTTACAGAAGGGCTAGATCGGGTTTAGCATTTCATCTTGGCCAAATACTGAAATCCGCGTCAAGTGGGCTATAAGACCTACAAAAATACTAAATGTTGGTGATGTAGTTCTGTAACTATTACCCCCGAAACAAGAAACCCTATTAAGTATCATTGTTCAAGTGACACATAATAAAATTAGTCACTTTTCATGTGATCTAAATTGTTCACAATCTTTAATAAGGGATAAAAATCTCTCTCTCCGTCTCTCTCTGTTTTCATGTACTTAACATACTAGGGTATCTAAAAGATTCTGTTGATACTGGCAGTAGTTAGGAAGCGAGATTTAAAAGAATCGAAAATGACATTGAATGTCCTATTTACATGTTGGAAAGTAACAATTACTATCAGTCTATAGAAAGAACTCGTGGCAACGTTGTTTAGAAAATGATCAAGTGGTTATCAACTCTGGTTTTCCCACAGTAAATTGTAGGAAATGATAGAAATTCAGATTGTTTATCCATATATTTAATATACGGTGTACTATCTTTTCTCTGGAAACACAATACTTTACTTGCTGTTTATTGCACTTTATTAAATAACAGTTATTTATGATATATTTATAGAAAACAACAACACAAAAAGCGGAAAAAAAACAGAAGGAAAAAAAAAAGAGTTGAGTAGGACTCGAACCCAGCACCTTCGGCTGGACGCGACAACATTTAACCACTGCACCACAGAGGTTGATTACACATCTTAGGGGGAAAGTTTTTAATTTAATCCCTTTTCCAAGAAACTTCCGCCGGCAAGATGATCGAGCCGCATTAACCGAGCTATTAACAGTAAAAAAAACAATGTAAACGCATATTCCTTAGCAATGAGTGAATGAAAGAACATAATTATGCTTTACAAAATGCCGATACACGTCCTCGTTTGCAAAGTAGGACGCAAAACATATGTTTTCTTATCTCGACTTTCGCTGTTATTTTGAAGCTAATGGTCAGAATCACATCCATTTTCGGCTCATACAGGTTCTTAAGAATAGCATGGCATGACATTTTCTCACTTTCATATCACCTCCTAGCAAGCTGGAATTTGTGTATCCCCCGTGTTCCGTTTTACGTTTTTGGGATATATTTTTTGTTTAGTTTTTGTCGTTGTTGTTGTTTTCTTATTGTTGTTGTTGCTGTTATTTTTGTTAATTACAACGGAAACCGGCTGTAAAGATTCTCTCACACGAGCATGTGAATAACAGATCTCCTGGCTTGCAACATATCATGGCATAATCATGTTTATTTCTCTTTATTACATCTACAGATTTCCTCCATTATTTGAGGGGTTGAGGGGAACAGGGGCACGTTTAATTCAGTCTAATCCTCGGGGTGAATATTAGCCATTACCCGAGGGGTAATGCGTGCGCTTCCCATTCGTCCTAAAAAGGCTCCGAGCGGAACAATGGCACTGACGCACAGTTGGAGAAAAAGGAATGCTCGGGTGGAATAACGACTGAACTTTATAACGGGACACGCCCCAGATAGGTAGAAAGAACTTTGGTGTTTAGTTAAGTCAAGCGTTTAGTCAGCGAAGAAATCCTGCCACTCATAAGCCACTAAACAACTTAAAGTTCTCGTAAGCTTTGATCCAAGGCCAGGTAAGTCTCTTATTCTTTGAGATCATCAAACAGTTCAGTCTTCCTCCTTCTGTTTGATCATCAAGAGGAAATAATCAAACTCAGCTGCGAAGCGTTGCAACTTGAAGACGTCCTGCGTAGCCATGGATTGCCAAGATCTCACGCGCACTCTCCATAAGATGATCGGAATTATTCCTCGCGGTAAGCGGAGCCGCCACACTTGTTGAGTTGATAGCAGGCAGGACTGGCTTTGAATGATCTAATGCGCGCACGGCATTAGCCTCGCACTGACTTGATATCGCATCTTTTAACAAGTTCTTGCTCTGATGGGATGATGCCAAAGATCGAGTTTCTACCACTTTGTCTGACCTCCATTTCTCTTTCTAAACTTAAAAAGAAGTGATCCACCCATTACTTTAAAGTCACTTTTAAAGGTTAAATCGTTATGATTTTTCTTTCCTTTCTTTTCTTTCATTTGCTTTTATACTTTTACCCTTCAATTTTTTGGGAACCACAAAAAATCCTAATTTGTACGGTTGGGTTCTCACCAGAGTGTAAAGCTTCCTTTTAACGATAACCAGTTCTCGAAAGTGACAACAAGCTAGAATTAAGGACAGAGACGTATTGAGAAAAAAGAAAGGAGAAAGGTAGCCTAGCATTTATAGCCAAATTCACATGCTCAGGGGCGTAGCTTCTGTTCGCGCGATACACATGTGCGTAAAGCAATTAGCTTGCGCAAGCGCAAAAAAAAAAGGGAAGGGGAGGGGAAGAAAAGCTCGAATGGTCCAAATCTTTCCAATCCCTTTTCTTTTTTCTCTCTCCTGCCACGCAGGCTAAGTTGCAATTAGAAAAGGAAATCAACTTACTCTGTCTTTGACCTTCCTCGCACACGTTTCTCGCATCTCTTTCTGTTTCTTTTTGCTCTCCCTTCTCTGCTGTTGCTTCACCTTTCTTTTCTCAGTCTTTTGCTTCTTCCGTTCAATTCTAAACTCAAGCTGGTCGCGTATGTGTTCTAGCTCCTTCAGCTTCCTTTCTTCTGCTGCGCACTTTTTTTCGTGCACGTCCGCCAAAGTGATTTCTGACACCGCTTTCCCACGTCTCCTTAAACGCAGCGAAACTCTTGTCTTGTCGTCAGCCACTTCTTTTTACTCCGGAAAAGGGGAATTAATCGAACTCAGAGGCTGTGCAGCTTTGCAACTTGAAGACGTCCTGTAGTCATGGATTGCTAGAATCTCACCTGCACTCTCGAAAAGATGATTGGAATTCCTCGCGACAAGCGGAGGCGCCACATTTGTAGAGTTTATAGCAGACAGTACTTGCTTTTCGTGATCTAATGCACGCATGGCATCAGCCTCGCACTGACTTGGCACCACATCTTTTGTCAAATTCTCGCCCTGATGAGACGATGCCAAAGAACGAGTTTCCGATACTTTGGTCTGATCTCCATTTTCCCGAAATCCTATGTCTTCATGACATGCTGAGTCTTCATTAGAAGACGTCCTTGAACTTTTGTCTTTGCCTGTTATTCCCGGGTCAACCATGTTTGTTCTCTTTCTAAACTTGGAAGAAAGTGATCCAAACATGACTTAAAAGTCACTCTTTTAAAGGGTCAAAGCACAATACACCAATATTACTCGCTATACAATAGTCACAAGTGTTACTTGCACCTTACGCAAACCGTGCGAACGCATATCCTAAACAAGAAAATAAACTTTGCGTTGCCTAGGATTCGTTTATTGCGTCTTATTGCGCGCGCGCCAGAATGTTAGTGTGGAATTTAAAAGTTAAGCCGTGGGTTGGAGTCAGTGTGTACTCCGTGCTTTCAGTTTGTCTTACGCTAAAACCAGGCTACCACATTGCTATTCAAATTCCATCCCTTTGTACCATAAAATACCCTCGTCACTTTGGTAGGAAAGCAAATGTAGGCGAACTGTGGTTTAGGCAAAATTGAAGTGGGTATTATCATGAAAAAAAAAAAAAAAAAAAAAAGGTGATATTTGTTTTTCACATTAATAGCCCACAATAAAACAAGATATTATTAGGCATGCGTCACAAGTATGTAGGCAGCATGTATATGGGGTTGCACTTATGTTGTATGGAATGAGAAGAATGAAAATTGAACACGTGGAATTGAACCACCTA